GAGAACTAATCATCTCTGGGATTTAGGAGTGGTCCACGGAGGAGGTAGACAGCAGCTTACATTTTGGGCTTTTTTATATCTACATGAACTTCCGGAGACTTGTCTCTGAAATGTGGAGTCTTAAAGTGCTGTGGAATGGAGCTGAATGGAAGCTGAGGTCGAGTTCCAGTTCCTCTTTACCTTGATTTTCCAGACCACCTGGAATATCTCTTCCTACAAATCCCTATTCCACTTGAGTATCCATTCTATACAGCTCAATGTGAGATCATCACATCCTGCAGGCTCTGCTGATTATCTTGAGCATCTAGTATTTTCATGCTAGTCAGACAGAAGCTATGTTTGTTTATTTGTTTGTTTTTAATTTCCCTACATCACCTAGCATAGCACTGACCAGAAGGAAGCACAGTAACCATTTCTGAACTGATTTTAAAAATGAAAACTGCTGACAGGGGAGTTCTAGGGCAAAATCCTGGATTCATTACTGTTTGCTGTGTGATTTTGGGCAGCTTGATCTGGCTTATGTTTTTTCATTGATTAAATGGGTGATAATAATAGCTAATAGTTACCTAGTAAATGCTGTGTGCCTAAATCACTAATGCACCCAGCCATTCTGTGAGGAAAATGCACTATTATTGTTAGTCTCATTTCGTGTGAGATGATACTCCAAAAAAAGTAAAATTGTCTAAAATTACTCATTTTGGTAAATATCATAGTAGATCTGAAACCACACTGTTTGAGTTCAGAGCACTTAACCTCTATGTGATTCAGCCCACATCTGACTTGCCTATCTCAGAGTCAAATGTTCTAAGTGAAGGGATGAGTAAAAGTTTTCTGAAGAGTGTAAAACAACTACCCAAAAAGTAAATCTACTTATTATATTATGTGAAAAAGATTTTTTACCATTTTGTTTTGTTTTGTTTTGTTTTGTTTGATGCTGGATATCAAATCCAGGGCTTCACATGCTCTATCCTTGAGTCCCTCTACCACCAACACCACCCTGTCTGAAAGCATTTTTACTTTCCAAAGCAATTGGCACTGCAGGACTGGGTGAGAGAAATGCATGGCCATAGTACAGGAGGAGACCAGAAGCTTTTTGGGCCACCTCTTGGCCTTACTGAGAGTCCAAAAAACAGCAGTCTGCAGAATGTTCACGCCACACTATCCTCCTGCACCAGAGGCTTAGTCTGGGGGCTGCTATCAATGAATATCAGCAGAAAAGGAACATACTTTTGCTTTTATTCTCATTTTTAATTGACCTTAAATTTCTTTCCTGGCCCTTTGCCTTTGAGACAGTCTGTAGTCATGAATCCTTGATATGTGGCTCAAAATAGAATTATAGGAGAGTGTATTCCTTTCCCTTCATCAATTTCTTGCCTGTTTTTATTCTAAGACCACATTCAGTTCAGAGATTGAACAAGCTCTGCTCTATGCAGAGCCCTGTACTACAGCCTGTATAGAAGGGGCCACAAATAATCTGTAGCTTTGGAAAAGCAGAGGACTTCTTTTGCAACTAACTGTATCCATCTGGTTTTAAAAGGTAAAGAAAAATCCCTGAATCTAGGCAACCATTTATACATTAATTACGCTTATCTCAATAGCAGTAGTATGGTCTTAGTAACTGATTGTTACGGTACCCAAATCTGTGATATCAGAATGTGATGTGCATATTTTAATTTGAGAAATAGTTTAACATTTCTACATATTCATTTAAATGTGGTTATGCAGGTTAAACATAACGTATGATCACTGCTTCTTTCATTGCTTCCAATTAAACCTTGCTTGTTAGTTTAACCTGTAGGTAATCCCATCAAACAATTGATGTCAAGCAAACACTGCCCACAGTAGCTTCGGATGAGTGGCCATTAATTTTAATTGCCTTGATATTAAAGATTAAGAAGTATTGGGTCTAGCAGAATAGAAACGATCTGATGTCAAGCAAATCCACTTGCTAAAGCTTCCCCAGGCTGCTGGTGATATTAAAATTTTACTATGAGAATTAAATAAACCTTTATTAGTGATGACTGTTGTTTGATTGGTCCAGGGGTGTGCATAAACAGAGGATTCTTACATATCTAGAGATGAGACCTTCGATGGTACAGAGATTCCTCAATTATGAAACTGTTAATAAAGCTGTAATCTGATTTTCCAGGCTAGGTTTCATTAATGTGTTATAGCTTCTCTGATTGTCAAGGTAATATTAACTACAAAGTACGGAATCCAACAGAGAATTGTTTAGAGAATTCTAAGATAGGCCTTTGTTGCTACATTCTGAGTTGGGGAATTTTCATTAATTATGCTTAAGAAATGCCAAATTCCCTTTCAACTGGGACTATCTCCCTTTGTACTGTAGATATAGTCAATCTTTAACTCTTTTTGAGGCCTGCTAGGCTTGTCCAGAAAAGCCAGAATGGTATTGCATGTGAAAGCAGCTTTGTGCAAGGAGCTCCCATCCCACCTCCGGAGCTGAGGACTTGCTGAGGGCTTGCACTGTGAAAGGTGAAGTTGGTCCTGAGAGGATTTGCTCTAGCAAGCACAATCAGAACTGATACCTTCAGGGTTATTTTTCCATCTAATTCAGAACTATTCTTCTGGGTGGGAGTGGATCCTAATAATCATCAAGGCTGGCTTCTTCAGGTGTAGCAATTCCTCCCAAGGATCTGTCACCATCTTCTCAAGCCTTTGGCCCCACATCAGTACCATCTCTGCACCCCCACATTCCTCAATCCAGCTCAACAGTGACTACTACCACACTGCTGCTTTGCTGGCTCAGGTGCTCATCACTGCCTCCCGGTGCTCTCTCCTGACTTCTTCCTGCTGCCACATACCCTAGAGTTCCCACATACTGTCCCCTGGCTTGAGAGTTCAAAGAAGGAAGGACCAGAAGACCAGCACCAGAAAGCAGCTGAGTTGCAGACCAACTTTTGTGACTGTCTAGATGACTGGAGAGTAAAGGAAACCAGGCTTCAGTCCATTTGGAAGGACTGTGCAGCGGTAGGGTGGGGCCATATGAAGCAGTGAGCACCACATCTCTGCAGGTGGAGTTGCCAGAAATAAGCATAGACAAAGGCAAATTGAGAGGACAACTGAGCTCAATCTGTTGAGCTGGAAGTCCTGACAGAACATTTACATGAAAATCTCTAACCTGAGAACTAAAGTCCTTCATAGATACTAGGAATAGAGATAGAAATCTGGGAGTTACCCACACAGAAAGAATAACTAAAATTTTATATATGAATAAGGAGAAGGGCTGAGAGCTGAGGCTTAAACACACACACACATTGTGATAGGGAAAGACCACGCTTTGGGGGAGGGGAGCAGGACAAAATGTCAGACCACCCAAAGACTAACTTCTGGGAAAGATGGGTAGAGATTACAAGCATCAGACTGTGCTTAGAGGGCAGTCAAGGTAAGAGACACAAGGCTATTGGATTTAGGGATAGAAGATTCCTGTGAAACCACCTCCATCAACCATGTAGCCCTTGAGATTGTTAAAATTAAATGAGAAAATGAGGGCAAAGAGCTGTCTTTGGTACATCTGGAAGTCACTGAATGACAGTTATTAAATCCCTTATATTTGATACAAAGAAAAAAGCAAATATCAAACAAAACGATAGTGGAACAGAAACAACTCAGAAGTGCTGATCTATATCATATTTACTTCCTAATGGGTTTTGGCTTCCTTCTGCTTAAGGAACCCAGGAAAGCCGTATGGGTCCTCAGCAAGTGTGTCACATGTATCTGTGCACAGGTGTGCACATGGTGTTCCCAGGGTGGGACAGCATGTGGGAAGCAGGGAGGCCAATGTTGTCTTCCTCATGCAGCTCCCTTGCCAGGGCTTTCTGGCTTCTTCCAGAAGGATGAATGCCATAGGTTGAGGAATGAGAATTCTGTTTCCAAAGCAATTAAAGACTTGGCAAAGGTGGTCATCAGAGATGCCCATTGGTGTAAATTGGGTTAGAGGGCTCTGAAATACATACCACTCCTTATTTTCCTTTAGGGCTCCTGAGTTACTATTCAGAAATAATATCTTTAGGGAAGAACAGTAGCCCTGATACCACAACAACTCTTCCTTTGACAGATCATTAAGAAATTACTGAAAACTATATCTAAACAGTTACTTTAACAAAAGAGAGTTATACCTTTGTATAAATTGCTACATGGCTTTTAGCAACTACTTCATATAGCTCTACTATAGGTACAATTACACATCATGTAACTCTGAAGCTTGTGTCCTGGGTTGAAGTTTGCTGTCTATGAAACATTATGAAATCTTATCTGATGCCAAGATTGTCTCTAGAAATCTTTGCCATTTGCACTGGCTAACATCATAAGTAGTTTATGAAAAAAATAAGTAGATTGCACCTGATGAAATGTAGGGCTGCTCCGCTGTATTTGCATTTGCATTTGGTCTTATTGGAAGTGCCATACTTAGGTTTTCAAATTGGGACCTTCTCATGTGTTAACTGGCAGTGCTTGAGCAGCCATCTTGGCAGACATGCAGTGTCTTCTATAGCTGAAGACAATGGGATTTTTCATCCATTATTAATTGGTGTTATTCTTCTCAACAGATTAAACATGATTCTCCTTTACAGCTGCCAAAATTGTTCCAGACCCCTAGTAAAGAAGAATAAGCTGTTCTCTCTCAAGTGTTGCTTTTATTGTTTACCTAACTTAACAAATATTTCCTTTAGCTTTTCAGCTGCTTTTAGGGGGCCTAATTACTTATGGTGTATATGCCAGTTGGATAGTTTGTATAGGCAGTGCTCTCAGCCACTTTGTTGTTACTGTGGCCAACTCTAGGAAGCAGCATTATTCAAAATGCGTCTGACAAGACCATTATAGTCAAGTCTGAAATGTATTATCCATAAGATATGACATTGCAGACTAGGAGTTATCTCTGAGGGTTTTCTCTTGGTGCCTAGTAGGTACTGTTGAAATTTGATTTTTTCTTCCTTTTTCACTTCTCTCCCCTTTTAATTCCATGTTCCTCCAATTTGTAGGTATCCAACTGGTTTGGCAACAAACGAATCAGGTACAAGAAGAATATTGGCAAATTTCAAGAAGAAGCCAACCTCTATGCTGCAAAGACAGCTGTGACAGCCGCACACGCAGTGGCTGCGGCTGTGCAGAACAACCAGACCAATTCACCCACCACGCCAAATTCTGGTGCGTACTGAACGCTGACTCCCTACTTGGCGAGGCCACCTTATACCACACTGTCCTGTATCATGCCACAAGGCACACTGAGCATACTGAGGATATACTGGATTTGTAAGGGAAGACATGTTTAGAAGCCAGCTTGTTTTGGGGATGGATGAGTGAATGGTGACCCAAGCTTGTAAGTTCACTGCTCCCAGTGGATGACTCTTTACTGGTCAAGTCTGGAATATTTACATTTAATTCAGTGATTAGAGGAAGTGCTTCCACTAGTGATTACTTCAGCTATGTTGTTCTATGTATCACTCTGTAGTCAATAGCAGGCCATCAAAGAATGAAATAGCAGGAGTGGGAAATGTGCCAGTCGCTGTCTGTAAAGAACCGGTGTCAGCGGCTTTCACCTGCTGGGCTGCCACTCTGCACTTCTCCAGCCTGTGCTGTGCAGTGCTGGTGCAGTGGGTTTTGTAGTCAGATGTGAGAGAGATGGCGCTTGAACCTTCACTCTTTGTCCAGTACATTTGGACAAAATCTCATATGACATTTGTGATGGAGTTAGAAATACCTTAAAAGGGGTTTTTAACCTGAGGAGATCTTTTAATACATATGTAAATATTCGAGGATGGGGGTGTTCAAAAAGAGATTTTTTTCTGTTCTCTCTCTCTCTCTCTCTCTCTCTCACACACACACACACACACACACACACACACACACACACACTTTTTAACGGGACACAAACACAGGTGAAAGTGAAATTAGAATTATGGTTAACAAAAAGAACATGAGAAAAATGTGTCCTTGAAGGTAATTACCCAGCATGACAGAGATGCTGAAGAGCTCAGGCAGTGAGCAAGTATTAGAGATGAACAAAACGAGGGGAAGGTGCTAGAGGGCATTTTCCTGTTCATTTCCATTTGTCTCTCTGGGTTTTTTGGTCAGGCTTCCCCACCAGTGAGGCTTTTCCTAGATATAAAGAGAATCACAGGGCCTACCTTGGGGTTGTTCTCCATTCTCCCAGATCTGGAAATGCCTTATGCTGTGCACAGCCTTCCCTCTGTATCTTTTCTCCTTTCCCTGCCTCTAGGTCTTTGAGGATTATGCATGTAGCTCTCTGTTATTCAGCTACTTAACTCTTTCCTTTCCAGGTTCTTCTGGTTCTTTTAACCTCCCAAATTCTGGGGACATGTTCATGAACATGCAGAGTCTGAATGGGGATTCTTACCAAGGGTCCCAAGTCGGAGCCAATGTGCAATCACAGGTAGGAGAAATGCCCCAGCTGGGGCCTTTCTGGCAGGGTAGGGTTTGGGCTCAAAACTCCTTCCTCTGACCCTGTGGAAGTGGTCTGCACATCCATGCAGAACCTGTGCTGGGTGCTCCCAAATATGACCCATCGGCCCCACATATAATCTAATGAAAAGGCAAATGAACAGTGATTTTTGATGATTCAAACTTGATAAACTTTGTGAATGCATTCGGCTCTGGCTTGAGCTCATGGAGAAGGGTGGGATATATCTTACTTGGTCACAGAAGTGAACAGAAAAATCACGTGTGCCAGTGTGTATGTGATTTGAGAACATGCCTCTCTGTTTCATTCCTGTAGATTCCTAAGTCAGAGTATAAAAGCCTGAGTTCTTATAGCATATTCTGTGTTCAACTCTTTTCCTCCTGTAAATGGAGAACAACTGCTCATCTAGTTTTTATACATCTGTGTGTGTGTCTGTGCGTGTGTGTGTTTATAGATAGAGAAAATGAGAAGGAAAGAGATACCCATCCAGGATATATATTTACAAGTCGGTTTTCACCCACAGCATTTGGTTGCTGTAGATGGAAAGTATAGCCATGATGATGTTATAGTTTGGCTGGCATAAAAAACAAAGACATGTGAGTTTAAATATGCACAGAATTGCTGAAGTTCTGCCAGTCACATTTGATTGATAAATTTGTCTCTCAGTGAAGATGCTAAACCCTTGTGGCACACATAATTCAAATTGTTTCCTTTTGTAAATGATGATGTTTTAATAGATTTGGGATGATGAATTTTGTTTCCTCTCATTTCTAGGTGGATACCCTCCGTCATGTTATCAATCAGACGGGAGGCTACAGTGATGGCCTTGGAGGAAACTCACTGTACAGTCCACATAATTTAAATGTGAGTACTCTGGGGAGCTGGCTGCAGGGACAACATCAGGGAATAGTGGCCAATAAAAACATTAATAGCCATTTGACTTGGCTTCTCATCCTGCTGGTAGGTAGGAAAGGCAGCGTTTTTGCTACACTTTTATTTTATGAATCCCAATGCTTGGCATTACCTGGATGCCCTAAAAGTCCTCACAGATTCCCAGAAGTGACCAGTGTTGTGTCATCAACAGGAATTTAGCCATCAACCCATTTAGATGCCATTTCTTAGAAGCCACGCTGTTTTCCAAGGAGATGGTAAAAAACAGGTCATTTATCTTAAAATCAAGCAGCAGGAAAACTTCAAAGCATAGAACAGGTGAAAGTGATAATCTTGAAGGGCTCCAGACAGATCAACAAATGTAGCTAAAGAGAGAATGCTGTTCTTAAAAGGTTCTTACTATATCGTCAGTGTGGATCATGGATTGTTAAACATGTTTGGCAGTTCTAATGACTTCCCAATTTTAATTATGGACGAAATAATTACCAGTTCATTGAAACTTTCCTTTTCCTTCTACCCTAACACAGATAGAAAATGGCAAAACACCCAGCTGGGGTGGGGGTGGGGTAGGTCGAGGGGACAAGGTATAGAGCCAGCATGTGCCCCAGGAAGGAGTAGTGGACAGTCTAGGATTCCAGACTGAGGGTGAAGTGGGGCTTAGAGAGAAGCGTCCCTTTTTTAGGGCCTTGGCTTGCTATAAAAGTAAATATTAATGATTTAAAAAGTGATTGAAGATGCTCAATTGTAAAGGGAAAAAAGGACCGTTAAATACTCAAATCTTTTACATTTGAAATGTCCAATCTTTCTTTTTGGGTTTATAAATAACTCATAATAACCCACAACAAACCATATAAAAAGCCTTTTAGTTGCATTTCTCCTTTTTCATTTAAGTGTTTTGAAATGCTTCAGAGAATGTGCGATATCCTTATCAACATGATAAAATATGAAACTGTGATTGCCTGCAGCATTTTACAGACATGAATTCCATCTTCACTGATGAGGCTTGATAAGGCACTGTTGTAGAATACAGTGCATAATCTCAAACCACCAGCGTAAGGATTAATTTATTTTGAAAAAAAAAAAAGAATGCTTGCTGACAACCACTCCTCCAGTTGCCATGCTGGGTGAAAATATTGTACATTTGTTGTTTATAAATTTGGATAAAAGGAAATGATGTTTATTTCAAATGGAATATCTTTGGATTTGTATCTGTGGACGTTTTCTTTTCCTAAGGAGATTTTCATATCTGAGGGAGGATTGGCTTACCTTTTAGACAGAGAAGAGGATTTCTTAGAGTCCCTCAATACACAGGGACTTATCACCAACCAGCCCAGCATGACTGAGGCTTTTGAAAAACAGTGCCATGTTTTGTTTTTGTTGTTATTTTTTGTTTTTAATTTTTTTTTTTTAGTTTCCTTTTTTAACCTGAATTTAATATGCTTCAAGCTTCAAAAACTTTTTCTTTGGGCTTGTCATCTCTGTGGGACTGTTTGGTAATAAATTACCACCTCTTTTTCCTTGGCCCTAAGGGAAGATGCATTATAATGATGCAGAACTGCGTAGCAAGTTAGAAGCCAGAGAATTCTTCACAAACAGCGATCACAGGGAAAGGAGCAGGTGCTGGGCAGGATCCAGGGAGCCCTCAGCAGGCTGGCACACAGGCCCACAGGAAGGTGTCTGGCTGAATGTGCGGAATGTGAGGGAAGAAGGCAGGGCCCTCACAGCCCACATCTGCATTGGCGTGGGCTGGGCCCAGGCAGCGTGGAGCAGTGGCTGGAAGGAGCTGCAGGCACTGAGTGTCAGCAGCTCCCCCTCACTTTCCTCCAGAAAGGCCCCGTCACTTCCACTCAGTGTTTCCCAACTCACAGGCCCAGCACCTCCCTATTCTTGACTGACATAAAAATATGTAGCGACAAGCTGTCTGCCACGGCAGAAATCTGATCAGACATTGATTTCAGCAATTGCCTCTATAGGCCAAGACATAAGGCAAATTTGTTTCTGAGTACTCTTGGTGCTGATGCAGGTTGGAGGCAGGAAGGGCCAGCGGCATGGGCAAAGTGCTAGCAACGTCTCCACTAAGGGTTCCTGTTATAGATAATTGGAATCTAGATTTGAATAGTGTGTGCTCCCCCGTGGTTCATGCATTTTCATTCTAGAAGATCCTGTTTGGAAGGAAATTCTGGCCTTCATTTTCCAATGGTTACAGTAGCTGTCTGTCAGGTACAGATGGAAAGTGGGTGGCAACTTCTGTGTGGACACCCTGAAGAAACCGGTATGAAGTTTATACTTCATGGAGCTGGCGATTGAACCTCTCCACTGCCACTTCTTAAAAGTTTTCTTTTGGATCAGTTTATTTTTATCAGCAGAGCAAAGGCCAATCTTGGTGCCAGCTTGGGACTAACTGAAACCCTTCTCCTGCATCCTGATTTATTGCCAAGTCTTTACTTGATGGGATGGATTTGTTTTACATGCATTTAATCCCACTTTAACACATGCTTCCCACTTCTGCCAAAGTGGGTTTAGAAAATACATTTTGCTAATGCATCTCTGCTCTCATGTTGTCATCTGGGTGTTTTAAATTGGGGAGTGGAATTAATATGTAGACGTACACCCACTAAACCATGTTTGTTCTTTCAGGCTAATGGAGGCTGGCAGGATGCAACAACTCCATCTTCTGTGACTTCTCCTACAGAAGGCCCAGGAAGTGTGCATTCGGATACCTCTAACTAATCCCCGGCCACACTTTTCCCTGAGCTGACATGCCTTGATAAGTGCATTCAGAGCAATAGGAGGAAAAGAAAAGCGGTTTTGTAGCCCACCATCTACAGCTTTACTGTAAAACCTATCTTATTAGAAAACTTGGTAAATCTGTTTTTTAAGGAATCATAATCATTTGTATTTATACTTAAAACACACAATGTTTAATAAAAAAAAAAAGCACTTTATCCAATTAGGCCAAGATCTAACATTGTTGACAGTCCTATAGCTATTTTATCATAATTTATTACCAATATTTTACATTAATGGTTTCACAGTTGCCAATTACTTGGCCTTAAGGGTAAGAAGAACAATGTATGCTAAACCTCAATCATTAGAGCAGAAGCAAAGATTCACCTCACCTAAATTGAACTCCTTGCATATTTCCATTGCAGACTTTGTCTTTCTTTCATGTCACTAATGGGGTTGGAATAAGAGCTGTTTGGCTATCTCTGTTAATGACGGTTGTGTTTAAGAACCTTCCTTGTCACGTTCGTGTTGCGATCTCTTCTGTTATAATTAGATCAGAGACTGATAGCCTTTTTTCTCTCTGAAAGCACCAGTGTACAAAGTCTGTTCAGTAATGAAATTATGGATCCAGATTGTTCTGAAAACTGAAGATACTTGCTGCTGATGGAGGTGAAAACGAGATCGTCTGGGGTTTTACAGTGTGCACTGGGTGCTGCACAGACTTGTCAAGGTTTGCTACGTCCTCTGGGCATCCACAAAAGGCCCTGCTCTCTGGAGTGTTGTATATAGTGTAGCAAAAGAGTATTTATACATCTCACCAATCAAAACACAGCTTTATTACCTCATGCGAACTCATACAAACCAATAGAATTTCAACATGTTCTGTAGCTTAGAGTGCTCACTTACTACCTCTGAACAATACTCACGCTGTAGTTTGTCTCTTTATCTTTTTGCATCTTGTAATTAACTCTTTGTTCTCTTCATAAAATGTAATGTACATTGTAATCTTTTAAAAGAAAAATCAGGGTTGCATTTGCAACTTTTAAAAAACTGAGAGTGAAAACATTGGGTCTTAATTTAACACAGAATCAGTAAAATTGTTGTAAATACTGAAAAACATTTTGAATGTTCTTCATCTTGTTACTAATCCATGCAAAAAAATACAAGCAGCGACTAATTGTGATGCATTCAGATTTCAGTATTCAGTACTGTATATTTCACCCTGTGTGATGGGGCCCCCCTCCTTTCTCTTTTTGTATTGTATGCGATTCTGGAACTGATTGAGTCATGAAAATAATTTGTGGCGGTGATTCTAATGTATTAAAAACGTTTCGTGTTCCTTTCTAACTGGATTACACCCTGGATTGAAAAAGTCTTCCTCGTGGTAGTTATATGTAGTTTTAAACATGAATAAACTTTTTCCTTTCATGATTAAATGCTGATGCCATTTCTTCTTCCACTTCTTGGGCTGTGCAGAGCCAGGCCTGGGACATAGGGTAGCAAACGTCGCCCCTCTAGGGGCTGTGGGATGATAGTAAGTCTGAGCTGGTGCAGACTGAGCCACCTCTGGCCACGGGCTGAGTCCATCCTGTGGTGCTCAGCAGTGCTACAAGGAAAACATTCCCCCTTTTTCAAAGAGGAGGAGACCGAGGCTTGTAGCCCTGGGACATCAAGGGGCCATGCCTTGACCCCAGCTGTCCTGTTCTTGCTGTTCATAGTCTTCTTACCTAAGGAAGGCTTTGGAACTTGTTAGATTTTTTTTTTTAAATGATCAAAGCCTTGTCACACTTCAGTGACTTCTTTAATTATGTCTGGAAGAGTGGGCCTCAGACACCATTGAAAACCAATACCTCCACAACTTCTCAACATCATTTTGAAAATTCTAAAGTTGTAATCTGTAAGACCAAGTAGAGCTCCTTTAACTAGATTAAACATTGTTTTTGTTTTGTTCAGATTATAGAAAGTCCATATATTGTATATATGTCATTAATGTCTAAACCTTTATAATAAAAGGTCCATAGCAGGCAATTGGCCTGTTTACTATATCTCAAGGAAATTGACTCACAGGAAATCAGATTAATGTTAATCAGTTGCAGTAAATTGTCTATGATAAATACAACTGTTTTACTATTTGAGTTGGTAGAGTTAGGCAAAACGAGGTCCAGGGCCACCATTGCCATTAATCTTGAGGCACTTACACTGTGAGAGTAAACTTTATAAAATAGATTGCCCTCCAAAGCTGTCCTCCCTCACGTGGGTGCTCAGCCTGCCTGTAGGAATCTCTCCCAAGGCTAAATAGTTATTTTCATGATTCAATTAGCTTGTGGGTCAGCCTGTCTTCGTGCATAAAATGATCTCGGTGCTGTGTGGTTTTGTAAAACATACCCTGTGGAAACATAACACATAGGTACACAAATTCATTTTCTTTAGTGTCCCCAGACATCTCTCCTAAGAATGTCCTGGGTTTTGTCTTGGGCCAGCCTATAGCAGGAAGCAGACAGCAGTACTTCCTGGAGAGTCAGAGGTTATGAGTCATGCCCTTGGTCGGCTGGTTCTTTCACTTTAGGCCTGTGGGAAGGCAGACCCATTATGGTGAGAGGGTGTGAAGAGCTGCTCATCTATTGGCAGCCAGGAAGCAGAGGGAGACAGAAAGTGGGGCAAGGACCGAGGCCGTGTCCCCATAATCCTTTCCCTCCTAGGCCCAACTTCCAGTTTGCATTACCTCCCCAAAGTGCCAGCAAATTAAGATTTCATCAGTGTATTGATGAATCCATGATGTCTTGTATTCCAGTCACTTGTCAGAAAGTCCATCAGCTGCTGGCATGGAAGCACACAACTGTAATTCCAGTGCTCAGGAGGCTGAGGTGAGAAGATGGCTATGAGTTCCAGGCCTACCTGAACTATACTGGTGACTAACCCTTAGCCGGGAGTTTTGAGAGACATTTCAAATCCAAACCAACACAGGCTTCTGAGTCCTAAGATGAGGAAGTGAGGGTGGTAAGGTCACAGGAAATAACCACAGGAAGTCCCTCGAACCCCACCTCTCACAAGCTAAGGGCCCTCGCCACACAGTGCGTTTGTGCCTCAGGGCACAACTGTGTTTAGGTGAGAACACATGGATGTTCACGAGTGTGTGGACCCCTCTAGCCTGACAGGGTGTCTTCACATAGATGCCCAGGACCAGGGGACCTCTAAGTATCCATCCCGGGGGCCTTGCTCTGGGCTGAATCCTGACCTTGTGCCTTTATTTGCCACACAGAATGGGAAGGGCGAGGTTCTCCACAAGTGCCTGCCTGAAGAAACTGGCGCTCGGGGGGGTCAAGATGGAGAGAAGGTGTTTCCTTGGTACCCTGAGATCTCCTCCACCTTGACCAGGTTGTCCCCATGTGCCATGTCTTTCACTGCCCTTGAGCCCCATGGGTGAGATGCTGCTATCTCATTTTCAGATAGGGAATCAGGCTCAAAGAGTTGATGCCACCTGACCCAAGGAGCTGGGCTTGCCAGCTACTGTTTGCAGCAGGACCAAGAGACCCCAGAGACCTCCCAGGAGCCTCCTGTGTGAGGAACAGGTGACCAGAGAAACCTGTCTCCCCTTGGAGCTCGAAGCTTTCCAGCCCCTGCCTCAGCAGCCTGAGGGCAGTGCCAGGTGTGTATGATGAACGTCACAGACTGCAGGTGCCACCCGTGTCTAGGAATCAAAACACCTATGCGGGACAGGAACGGCCTGTGTCCTTGGGCTGGATTGGACCTGGCACCAGGACTAGTGGGGACAGAGGACCTCCTGGGGGAGCAGGTAGCTGTGACAATGGCAGTGCTAGGCCAGGGCTGGGCACTTTCCCTAGACGTGCACTCAAGACCCTCAGCCCTGCTGCCCAACAGCCGCCCTGCATCTGAGCCGGAGCCCCGCAGCTGAGGATTTGGGTCCTGCTCTGCCTCGTGCGAGGTGCATGGGCTCAGATAAAAGACTCTGTGGCCTGAGCCTGTGTCCTTGCTGCCTCTTCCTAGCCGTGCCTCACACTGTCTGGACAATGCCTGTCCTTCAAGGCTGAGCCCAGACCACTGTGTCCTCTGGCAGAGCTGGCCTTGTCCTTTCCCTTTGGGGCACTTTATGACCTGCACAAGCAGCAGCTCCAGGAGGAGGGCAGGAAAGTGGGCACTGAAGAGGGTGGAAGAGGAGGACACCAGGAAGAGCCAGGACAAGAACCAGGAGGCAGGAGCAACATCATTATGGTCACTTCCTCTCTACCCACTCCCAAGTTCTCTCCTCAAATCTTCACAGCAGCCCATTCTATAGATGACAAAGCTGAGGCCACTTGATAAAAATACACAGTTGGAACATAAGTCTGGGTGTGTGTGAAGCCAAACTCACATTTAAAATCTCTGGTGCAGCTGGGTGTGGTGGTGCATGCCTGTAACCCCAGCTACTCAGGAGATTGAGGCAGGAGGATTGCAAGTTTGAGCCCAGCAGTGAGATTTTGTCTCAAAATAAAAAGGACTGAGGGTGTAGCTCGGTGCTACACCTAGAGTACACTCGGTACTCACCTAGTGTGTGCTAGACCCTGGGTTTGATCCTTAGTACTACAAAACAAGCAGGCTGAGTGTGGTGGCCATGCCTGTAACCTGGCACTTTGGGAGGCTGAGACAGGAAGATTGCAAGCTCAGATCCTGCCTGGGCAATTTAATGACTTAGTGAGACCTATCTCAAAACAAAAAGTAGCTCAGTGGGAGAGTGTTCGCCTGGTGGGAGCAAGGCCCTGGGTTCCATTTCCGCTGACATCTCAGGCCAATAAAAGGCCTGTAACTCATCCTGCTGACCCCGGCCCCGGCTCCATGGGACCAGACCACTGCCAGCCCCCTGACTTGGGTGCTGCAGACTCAGCCAATGACGGGAAGCTGCTTCCTCTTGAGGCTCCCAAGTGCACTACCAGAAGCCGCACCTCTCAGCAAGAGGGCTCCCCCATCACAGAGACTCTGTGAGCCCGGGCCATAGCTTAGCAGCACGGCCAGGGCTGGATCTGCCTCTGTCTCATGCCAGCTGTGTGTCCTTGGGCAAGTCTTATAACCTCCTTTGCCTCAGTTTCCTTAGCTGTCAGGCACTTGCCGTTAAGCATTACCGATCAGATAGCTTGCTGCCAGGAAAGAGTATCCTGATCAAATAGGGCTAAAGAGGAATCTCTGCTATCAGTGTCAGATACAGTGTGAAGGGCAAGGGCATGAGAAGCTGGCAGAGTCCTGCCACTTTCCAATGTGTGGCCTTGGGCATAGGGCTTCTTCTGTGCAGCCTCAGTTTCCTCATCTGTAAAATGGAGACACCATTCCTATGTACCTGTCTCCTAAGGATGTAAGGGTTAGGTGGGTTGATACATGCTGGCTTCCTGGTCTATTGGCTTGGGCAATGAATTCTCTTCTTCCTGTTATTACTACATAGTAACACAGACCAGAAAGGGCTGCCCGGGCTCTGGCCTCTGGGCTGGAGTGACTACTGGTCACCAGGCCAGCTTGGTGGGCAAGGGAATCAGGGGCCAAGTGGGACTCCTGGGGGTGGATCCACCTCTTCAGCCCACCTGCTCCAGCCTGCTGCCCCCAACCCTCCAGGCTGGACCCCAGCAGAGGCCTCACCTCTCCCCACCATCTCAGGAGATAATAAAAGGCTGATTCTTTTTTCCTGGTAAAATTTCAGCAGAAAGTGTACGCATCATTAAATATGGAAATCCAGAATTTTATTAGCAATCTGCTAGATCTGAACTGACGCCAATTAAACAAAAAAGATATCATTTATAAAAAGGCAGAGTTCAACTTGTATTAAATATGAAATGCAATTTTCTCCTGGTTTTGATTTATTACTGGTGGTCCATTGTTCAAAGAAGCATGTTATATTTCAATAGAGAAATATTGTTTATTCATTAATATTTTAAAACGGGCTTATTGCTGTGCATGGCTCTCACCGAATGAAACTTATGATTTAAAACATGAATTAATAAACACATTTTAAAGTGTTAGACGAGATCACAACCTCTCATTTTTCATTTTCCTGGGAGCATATTAAATTTTTATAATTCTGCATCTACAGTTTTTTCTTTTAAATAAAGATGCAGATTCCGAATTACTCTGCTAATTTCAGGTAACCAGGAGCGAAAGCAATATTGTGGGGATCCGTGTAAGAATCTCAGAATCCCTGAGAAGACGTTCAGGTTTATTTTTGTAATATTCATAAATCAAATAAATGAGCTTGGTGCAGGAGGCAGCGTTCCCATGCATGAGGGTGCCAGCTGGAGCAGGAATTCGAATCAGGGCTGGCTGAGTGTGCAGGTGGATTGAGTGTGCTAATGTCCACGTGCATACGTGTGTGCACTCTGCAGTGTATCCACAGGAGCACACACGTGCATGTCACCTGGATGCATGGCCGTGTGCAATCTGAATGCATCTCAGTTGTTTG